TTCTCTAGAGAAGCAAAATGAGTGAAGCTTATGTAGGTATATGGCAAGAGAAGTTTATATCAAGAGAATTGGCTATGTAGCTTTAGGAGTAAGTCCACTCCAATTCAAATTCATAGGTGAGATGTTAAGCAGGAAGTTCTTGTGAGCCATGCAGCTGCTAGGGTTGATGGACCAGGAAAGCAGGAAAACAGTGTAAGAAGATCATAGTGTGGTGCGTGTTATGAGACCAGGCTTAGGACTGGTAGAGTCTAACACATCCGAAGTCAGCAGGAGCGCATGGTTCCCAGGGTTCACAGGCAATATGACAGGCCACGGATGCCTCCCAGGGTCAACAGGTAGCATGGTGGGCCATTGACTCAAGAACCAGAGATTAATGTGACAGATGAGGCATTCAGGACATAAGAGGAAGTCAGCTGCCCTCATCCTTTACTGAAATATCAAGCAGGCCATACTCTAGAGGGATGTCATCAGGATGATGACCACGTAACTCATGGCTAGGAGCGGATTCCATCAAGGAGTTGATTGTGTTAGATCACATTATGATCTAAATGCCAAACTGAGAATCCTGGCTCAGCCACAGTGACACAAAATCTAACTATCTCACACATATATACATTATATATATATATTCATATTTTTGCCAAGATGTCCATGAAATCTCTTCATAGAATGATTAGCCAATTAAAAATACCTGTCTGTGTCATTTTATAAGTGTTGTCTCATGCCTCTCCTTGTCGCTATTGCTGTTAGCTACCATCGACTCGTTTCTGACCCGTAGAGACCCTGTGTACTCAGAGGGAAATGCTGCCTGGTCCTGTAACATTCTCACAATCGTTATGTTGGAGCGCATTGTTGCAGCACAGTGTAAATCCATCTTGTTGAAAGACTTCCTCTTTTTCGCTGGCCCTCAACTTCATCAAAATGTCCTTTTAGAGGAACTAGTCTCCCATGATAACATGCCCACAGTATGTGAGAAGTCTAACCATCCTTGCCTCTAAGGAACATTCGGGCTGTACTTCTTCCAAGATTTACTTGTTCTTGGCAATCCATGCTACTCTCAATCTTCTCCAAATGCATCCATTCTTCTTTGGTCTTCCTTATTCGATGTCCAATTTTCACATTCATATGAAGTAATTGAAAATACCAGCCATGGTTTATGTCAGGCGTACCCTCGTCCTCAATGTAACCTCTTTGCTTTTCAATACCGTAAAGAGGTTTTGAACTGCAGATTTATTCAATGCAATGTACTATTTGATCTCTTGATTGCTGCTTCCATGAACATTGATTGTGGATTCAAACAAGAAGAAATCCTTGACAATTTCTGTCTTCATTTATCATGTTTTACCTATTGGTTCTGATTTTTCAAGTGGTGAATGCAAATAGAAAGGCCTATGCATTTAATTTTGT